CCCCCACCACCCCCGCCCCGCGGATCCCTCACTTACCGCAATCAAGGCCTTCCCCAGGCCGCAGCTTCAGCGTGGGCCCCGGGAGGCCGGCGACGGGCCTCCTCAGGCCTCCCACGGGCCGCAGCGCTTCAGCGTGGCCCCCGGGAGACCAGCAATGGGCCTCTTCAAGCCTCCCCCAGGCTGCAGTGCTTTGGTATGGGGAGCTGGGAGCAGGGCTTGCCGCTGCCGCCATTTGTGCCAGCTCCTGGACTGCCGGAGCAGCGCTCCGACGCGCTCCAACCCCAAATGACCCCTGCACCTGATGAGTTGTTGTGTAAATCATTACCTGGACAGATTAAACAAGCAAGTTGCAGCAGCGTGGGAGAAAATTCACCTGTCTTAAAGGGGGCAGGCATTCCATGTTAGTGAAACAACCAGTGGGGGGCTGTGGCCATCCTGCCCTGTAGGGATCACAAGTATAGGAAACATGGAAGGTTATCCCATATGGGCAAAACTTATGGGCAAACCTCTCAATTATGGGTTATTTGCTGTTGTTTCTGGATCAGGCCTAGGCACAAGCAACCCACTGAAAGGTTTTTGGGGCGTGGGTGGGAAGGATTTTTAAAAGTCCAGAAAGGCTTAGAAGTTCTATGTGCAGACTAAGCAGATAAAGTAAACCAGACTTGGAGGTGGAATGTTAAAACTTATTCTTGGTACCTACACTCTTAGCCAAGAGGTCTTATCCTTGCTAAGCCAGTGTTTTCACACAACAAACAACTTCCATAGGAGAACATGGGGGATTTTTTTGTTTTGTTTTGTTTCTTGTGGCTAGATAAATCTGGTTTCCATTGCTGCCTCCTGGTGATTGAATTTACTTTGTGGCAAGCTTTTCAACTGTGGCTGTACTGAGCCTTAAGTTAAAAATAAACAGCTTTTAGGGAAATGGTTTTTTTAGGAAAATAATTTTTATTGATTAAAATAATTCTTTTGAAAACAAATATATAAACAATACTTGAACAACCAAACTTTTAAACATTCTACAAATTACAAAAGATACACTAGCTACAACAATACAACATATAAAACAAATTTTGCAATTATAACTACTATGTTCCATAGTTATCACAATGAATAATAAACAGCATTTAGGAGGCTCTGCAGATAAGAGCACGAGAACCCTGCTGGACCAGACCAAGGGTCCCTCTCCCCCAGCATCCTGCCTCACACAGTGGCCAAAACCAGGTACTCTGGAGGACCCAACACAGCACAGAGGCAGAGGACTGCCTGATGCTGATATTTAGAGGTTTATTGCCTTTAAATGAGGAGGTTCTGTTTTAGTCACCATGGCTAGCAGCCACCACTGGACCTTGCCTCCACAGATTTATCTAACCCCCTTTTAAAGCTTTCTATGCCTGTAGACATCATGACAGCCTCTGGCAGCAAATTCCACATTTTCATCATCTATTGAGTAAAGAAGTATTTCCTTTCGTCTGTCCTGAATCCCCTCAGCTTCATTGGATGTGATCAAGTCCTACTATTTTGCGAGAGGAAGAAAAAGTTCTCTGTCCACTCTCTCTACCCATGCCTGGTTTTATAAGCTTCTATCATCTCCCCCCCCCCGCCCCCCATTGTCTCTTTTCTTCCTAGGGAAGGTGCTCCAACCTCTAAATTACCTTGGTTGTCCTCTTCTGTACTTTTCCACTCTGCAATGCCTTTTCTGAGACCAGAATTGCACATAGTATGCCTATCGAGGCTGCACCATAACCTATATGGGGGTAGAAAATGGACTGGTTGTATTTAGCAAGATCATGTCACGCAAAATGAAGGGGGCACTGGGAAGTTTTATGATTGCTGCAATCAGTCAGCACCCAGATCATCTAAGTGATCTCTGGCAATTGTGTCCTGTTTATTGGCCAGATTTGTAAGCCGCCTTTGACCGACAGGGGTGGCTCGCAACATAAAATGAAAATGTATACACAGATTTTAAGAAAGATAATCTGACTGATTTAAACACATCCACCTACAGCAGAAATAAAAGTAATAATAAAAACAGCTTCAGCTTGGCAGTTATAAAAATCAGCAGTGAGCATTAGGATATACCTGTTAAAAGAGATTAAGGGACAGCATTGCTTTCACAAACTCCTTTCCCCAACCCTTTGTTTCACATTTGTGTCTGGTTGCTTGAGTGTGCATGCATCCTCAGAAAAGCAGTAGATGTGGTCTTCTTCTGCAACACTTGTGGCTGAACAGTGAATGCATAGAAGTCACAGGGGAGAACTACTATACTCTAAGAGAGGCTTAGTTTGCAGGGAGTGAAAGAGGCCAGAGCTTATATCTGCAGCTGTACTTCCCTTTATTATACAGCAATTGTTCTAAAGGTGAAAGTCTGATGCCAAGTGGGTGCAGCTAATGGACAAAGAGGAACAGATTCGAATTTAAATAACTGCTGCTTAATTAATTGGATATACCAGTGACAGCCACACTGGGGGTAGCAAGGCCAGCAGGGAGAAGGAAAGGGGGGGGTGAGCTGAGAAAGGGAGCTATAGGAGGCTCAGATGTGGGTCTGCCTCTGCCATCATGTGCTAAATAGTCGTGAAATAACAGCCTGTTCAGTAAAGCTACATACATACGGCTCCTAAACATGAAATGCAAATTGAGCTTTTTTGTGCTGTCAAGTTGCAGCCGACTTTCAAAGCAAGAGACGTTCACGGGTGGTTTGATATTGCCTTCCTCTGTGTTGTGACCCCAGTGTTCCTTGGTGGCCTCCTATTCAAGTACTAACAAGGGCTGTCCCAGCTTAGCTTCTGAGATCTAATGAGACTGAGCAAGCCTGGTCTATCTAGATGTTAAATGTGAGACTCCTGAATTTTATATTGCATGAAATTACTTTGCAAGTGGGTCCCACTGAGATGCATCTTCCCAAATTATAATAAAAGAAGCAAGTAACTAAGGATAGTCACCCTACTTACATCACTTTTGTATTTTCTGGGAGGGGTCCTGCACCTGATTTTGATACCATTTCATGTGACTCTGGCAGGTTCTTCGTTGCACATGGACCAGCCATGCTGCCAAGCCCTGTATGACTTTGAGCCAGAAAACGAAGGTGAGCTTGGCTTTAAGGAAGGGGACATCATTACGTTAACCAATCAGATTGATGAGAACTGGTATGAAGGCATGTTAAATGGTGAATCGGGCTTCTTCCCCATCAATTACGTCGAGGTCATTGTGCCATTACCCCAGTGAGCACGTTGGGCTGTCCTGACAACGGATGCAGCTTTGCGACCGAAAACCTTTTGCTCAAAGTGGATTCCATTTGTGTGGCATTCTGTGGAAGCCTTGCTTTTTTCCAACCAACTCTTGACTTTTGTACGCGTCTTTCAGAAATGTATTTATTTTGTATTCATGTAGTTTGTATATATTAAATCCTTCTTCCCTTTTGTTAAATGAAAATAGAGGGGGGGGGACTTGACCTGGCGAACTGTTTTGCTTTGTGCCTTGAAGGTGTGTTTACCAGCAGCTCAGTCGCTGCTCCAAAAAGTGCATTCAGTTGCTCACATCCCCAACGCCACTGTCTGTCTTGGCTGCAGCATATTTGTTCTTGACTACCATTCTCAGAATGAGAGAGAGAGAACCAAGCCACCTGTAAACAGGTGACATTAAGCAAACTTTCTTCTGTGCACCTTAACTGTGAAAAGCTAATACCCTTTGTGTGCTAAGAGCAGAGTGGTAGCCTTTATGAAGATGTTGCTGTACTGAGTACACTGTCTGAAAGTTAAAAACTCCTAAAACATTGACCAAATGTAATAAACATTGCCATGGGAAAACATGCACTCTCACTTCTCTTAACTTGTGGCAATCTAGTTACAGCTTCAGAGAAACATTGAGGGGTAACTCGGTAACCAACCAGTACTTGTTTTCTCATGTTTTAGCCCAAGGGTCCATCAAAGCATCCTGTTTCCAACGCCTGCCGTTTTACCAGGCTTAAACCAGGTATTTCTAGGGACCTCATTCCTAGCCTTTTAACAAACAGCAAAAATTGGGACAGTGTTACTAAGGACAGGTACCCCCAAAAAAGTTTCCTAAGTACGGACTATTGGAATACATGGACTGCTGTTGTTTATACTAAGCTCCTTGCAGTTTAGCTGAGGAATTCTTTAGAATATGTGTATGTTTACAATCACTTAAATAGCTGCCAGACTGCCAACATTTCTTCAAGACTCAAGTCTGCTAAAAGGCGGGGAGGGGGGGTTGCTTTAACACCAGAGTCATTAAATTGCAAGGATATAACTTTTAATAGAAAGTAATTGATTCAACAGGTTACAAAAATGGTTTATAAATAGTTCATTACCACCTGCCAGTTGGAATGTGAGAAAGTACAACAGTGAAATATTTAGGTTTGCTAAAATATCAGAGGACAAGCCTTTTTTATTCTAAAATATTTGGTGACAAAGCAGTTACATTAGAACAAAAAAAGGCCAGTTTTAACCTTGAGACTCGTTGCAAATAACACCCCCATCCAGTTTCCAGTAATTCAAAAAAAAACCCCAACTCAGCTCTGCTCAGCATGAAAGGGGCTCTCCCCCCCCCCCCCCCATGTTATTCAACAGTTGTGGAAAGTGCAGGAGAGCTGAACACGGCTGCTTGGCTCATACGTCATCTGAAAAGAATTCTTGGCAGATGGCAGAGCACAGGTTTTTAGCTGAAGGAAGCTTCTGCTGATGTTGACCACCTACATGATTGGACAGATGTGGCTTCCATTTTGCTGCATGGGGAGAGGAACAAAAGTTAGGCCTCATGTCCTTGATAATGTGCACCATGAAACTAGGCCTGGAAGCTACAGAACCTCCGCTGTACAAAGGGCACACACAGAGGCGCGGTTCCTAGGAAGAGTTACTCCAGTCCACAACTACTGGCAATCAGCAAAGGATTACTCCATGACCGCTAAAGACAAATTGTTCACAACTGGCACAAAATTGGTTAACTGCTCAGCTTGTGCCTTTCCCCCCTCCTTCACCTGCAGAGCATGCCAAGATGGAAGTCTTCGACTAATTAATCAGAGGGGATGTCTCAAGACTGCTCCTTTAAGCAGAGGTTTGTTTCATCATCAGTTCCAGGTATTCATTACTAGAAAAGGGAAAGCAAATCTCCATTTGATAAGCCACCACACTTGGAACATCTGAAGCTATTTGAAGACTTCCATCTTAATACAAGAGAGGGAAGGGGGCTCAGCAATTCACCAGGTTATGCCCGTTCCATACTGACTTGGATTTATTTGCAGCATATGAGTGCAGTCTAAAGTATTAACAAGCCTAGGCTCTGCAACTACAGAAAGCTAATCATACAGTACTCCGAAGCAAGACACACACAGGTACTAAAATCACGTCCATTTTAAATTGAAACTAAAAAGCTTGCAAGCTGTGCATACTCCAAGGAGATGCTAGCTTTGAAAGGGCAAAGCATGAAGCAGAAACACAGGGAACATGCCAGGGAGAAAAGTTATAGCTTATGATCCCGACATTGCAGTGTGTGCACTTTGTCAATGTTGCCTGTCCCAACCATCTCATTTCCACCTCCCGTATCTGGTGGACTACAGCTGAAAAAACGCAGACTCGCTACTTCCCTCCCATCACAGATACAGGCAAAGAAGATGTAGGCTTGAACTAGAGAAATTTTATGGAAGTGCTGTCAGTGTAGCCCTCATTTCCTGAACATTTGAAATTCACCAGCTGCTTGTGCATTAACATTAGCTTGTATTCCAGTGCAAGATGGCAAACAAGATGGTTTTATTTTTGCACCAATGGATGCTACAGAATCTTCTCCATCAGCACACCTGATACCAAAGAAGCTGAAGCATCTTAGGCTGAAGGCAGGCTGTGAAGACAGAGCAACAACAGATACCCAATTCTCTAAACTTCCTGTAAGACTTCAAGGACCACCAACAATGTGTGAGGACAGCCATCTTTAATCTATTGCCATATTCAAAATTCAGGTCCTTTTTAGTGAGTACTCTGAAACCAGTAGAAGACAAAAGTTAAGTGATATATTAAATGCATCTGCTCCTACTGCTACAGGGCTATCCTTCCCTTGAAAGCAAGCCTGGGGAACAGAAGAATGTGTTGATGGCTCAAGGACACTCAACAAGCTTTATGACGGCATTGGGAGTAGAACCCAAGCCACGTCTGACCTGCACCACACTGCCTGGATCAGTCTTTCAGGATGGCCACGTCTAGCATTAATGGCACTAATGAAACTCTTAACTTTGAGAAAACCCATTTGAAAATGGTGATGTATTGCTTGGATTACATCTGAAGACTGAATACCACAGATGCATTTTAACAAGTGGCAAAGTTGCCATCTGCCCTCTTGAAGAAGGGATGCTGGGTTCATGATGCAGCTAGCCTGGAGCCACCGAGAGAGGGAAGGCAGGTCTGCAGGCATCACTCATGCACAGTTCAAGACTGTCATGAAACCAAACAATATTTCCTTTTTCTTCTTTTTGTCTGACTGTGATGAAGTTAGATAGCAATTATGTAAAGTTGCAAGAATGTAAAGTTGCTTTAAAATATATATTCCTGTCAACCAGTTTTGAAGGATGCATTTGGTGATTCTCTACATTTGGGATTTCAGCTAAGAAACCTACTTGAGTGTAAAGTTCCCTTTCTTCTTCTTCTTCCTCAGCTGCTTCTTTTTCCTCCTCCTCCTCCCCCCCTTCTCTGCTGAAGCCGCCTCCTTCTCTTTCAGCATAGATGATCGTTCTTTCTGCAGTTTCCTGCAAGCAGAAGAGCACAGCCAGGAAAAGAGAATAAATGTGTCACCTTGAGAATGTTGTCCAAACAAAGGGCAGATGGGACTTGCACTTACTTCCCCTTCGGCATTAAGGAGCGTGATGTTGACATTCTCTCCACTTCCCCATGACTTCTGGGATTTCCAGACAAGGGTCAAGCCAATTTCCTGGAGATCATCTCTGGAGCGCCAGATCTTCAAAGAGAGGCATTGCTTTGGTAAGCTTTTAAACAAGTGATGGATTTCATGGGGATTTCAATGTTGACAAAGCAAGGAAATGTGCATAAGATTACCCCACTCTCTACCTGAAGCTGATCTGTGATACCGGTCTTAGGATAAGAAGTTTGTGTTTTGTTTGTAAAACTGGGCACCAAGGGAGGAACCGAGCGACATCACCTCATGTTTCTGACCGGGGTCTCCCTGCAGACATAACGTAATGCCTCCTGCAGTCTTGTGAAGTTCTTCCTGCTCAAGTGAGGTAGCAAAAAAACAGGACTGGCTCTTTGCTTTAGGGAAGAAGCAAATAGATGTCAGGAACCCTATCAGAGGGCTTTGTACTGGTGCCATGTTGAGGATTCCTGGTCAAGAGGATCAGGCTACAAGACACTAAAAGGAAGGGGGCCTTTGCTTGCTAAGGAACTAAGAAGAAGAGAAGAGATTGGATCTATACCCCACCCTTCACTTGGAGTCTCAGAGCAGCTTACAAACTCCTTTTCCTTCCCCTCCCCACAACAGACACCCTGTGAGGTGGGTGGGGCTGAGAGAGCTCTTTTGAGAACAGGAGAGAACAGCTCTGAGAGAACTCTGACTGACCCAAGGTCACCCAGCTGGCTGCATGTGAAGGAGTGAGGAATCAAACCTGGTTCTCCAGATTAGAGTCTGCTGCTCTTAACCACTATACCAAATAAATGCTTTGTGTGCAGAAGAAGAGTTGCCAGAAGGCCTGGAGAAAGAGGTCCTATCCCTTTAAGAGGTATTTAGTATGCAGAAAGAACCAACTTTTCATGACATGGAATTACCATCTCATTAAAGCCTCTTTTAAAAGGGCAGGACATTGTGCTCTAAGCCTGTTAGCAAGCTTGTGCAGAAGATCCAAGTTTCAATCCACAGCAGTTCCATATAGAAGAAGAAGAGATTGGATTTATACCCCGCCCTTCACTACCCAGAGCAGTCTCAAAGTGGTTTATAATCTCCTTTCCCTTCCCCTCCCCACAACAGACACCTTGTGATATGGCGACAAAAAAGGCTAATGCAATCTGGGGTGTATCAACAGAGGCATAGCATTCAAATCACAAGATGTTATAGACCCACTGTACTGCACCTGGAGTATTGTGTGCAGTTCTGGAGGCCTTACTTCAAAAAGGATATGGAGCAGGTGCAGAGGAAAGCGACAAGGATGATTGGGGGCCTGGAGACCAAGCCCTATGAAGAAAAGCTGAGGGACTTGGGAAAGTTTTCTCTGGAGGAGAGGAGGTTGAGGGGGGACATGATTGCTCTCTAAGTATTTCAAGGGCTGTCACTTAGAAGAGGGCAGGGAACTGTTAGTGTTGGAAGCAGAGGAGAGGACTCAAAATAATGGGTTTAAATTAAGGGTGTTAAGGTACTGGCTGGATATTAGGAAAAACTTTTTTACAGTAAGAGTTGTGCAACACTGGAATCAGCTGCCTAGGGAGGTGGGGAGCTCCCCCTCACTGGCAGTCTTTAAGCAGCAGCTGGACAAACACTTATCGGGGATCAGTGGCTATTAGCCACAAGGTATAGACAGGATCTCTCAGGCTGGGGCAAGGGATGCTCTGTATTCTTGGTGCTTGGGGGGGCAACAGTGGCCCCACTGGTGGACCTCCTGACGGCACCTGGTATTTTTGGCCACTGTGTGACACAGAGTGTTGGACTGGATGGGCCTTTGGCCTGATCCAACATTGGCTTCTCTTGTGTTCTTATGTTCTCTAGGGTGATCCTACATTGAGCAGGGGGTTGGACTAGATGGCCTGTAGGGCTCCTTCCAACTCTGTGATTCTATGAACTATTTAAGCTTGGCACGAAGGAAATTAGTTTTGCCCTACGAAACCTATTTGTGATTAGACTGTTTTAAGCAAGTCCATCATGTTTTGGAGGAGGTGTTCTTTATTCGCTTCTACCCACTTCAGAGCACAGATAAAATTTTAGGGCTAATGTAGGCTGTGTGCTTAATGCTCTTGTAATGGATGGTAATATAAAGTCCTGGCAATTACAAAATGGAAAGAGGAGAAAAATTAAAAGAAAATGTTTCCACTTACTGTAACTTTTTGACCAGCCTGAAGAGTGAATCCTGTCGGAAACTGGTACATCATGTCAGATTCATTTCTGTCTTCTCTTCTGAGTGTCCATCCACTTAGCGACTGATCCTAAAATCAAGAAGAGCATTTAGTGCTACCTCTAGCTGAAGGCCAGTGGCTTTCAAAAACTTTGTCTTTCTAGATGGGCTGTTGTATGCAGAGGAACCCCCAGCCTGTGGCGAGGAGGACTCTTGGGCACATCCTGTGCCATGCACAGTTCACAAAGCACACTCTCGGGTCTCTCAAGTCTGCCCACCTCCTCCCTAAAGTCCTACATCAGTCCAAGGTGAACCCTTAACCAAATACCTGAGCAGAATTATTTTTAATTCTGACAAATTTCCCTTCAACGTCAATGTCTTCTATAGAGATGCTTCCTGAAGATGAAGCATGCTGGACTCCCTTGAAACCAATCTTGGGGCCTCCCTGTTCCACTATGGTCCGTTTCCTTTTATTTCCCTGTAGGAAGAGACGGCCCCGGCTGGCTGTAGAATGCGTGCTGACACTTTCCAAGGAGGGCATGGACAGTCCTAACCTACAAAAAACAAGCCACCTTTCAAATTAGGTAATCCAGTTCACAAATTAGCAGAGGTAGCCTAAGATTTAACGGGATTGATTTAGTGCCAGACATGGGAAAAGGTGCAAAAATAGGGGTTTGATTTGCATGAGGCAGAATTAATTAAAATCCCCAATGTCACAATAGCGGGGCTGTAACATTCAGTTGCATCAACCTACCGCTTCTCCTCTCTTTCCAGCATAGCTCGGTATGCGCTGATCTCTAGATCGAGAGCCAGCTTTACATCCAGCAGATGCTCGTACTCTTCCAGCTGAGCTTGCATTTGTTGCTGGACCTCTGCCATTTCTCTGTTCTTCTCAGCTACACATCTCCTGTGCGTGTCTCGCTCACCATCTATCGTCTTCTCCAGCTCCCTTACCGTGGCCTCCAGCTCACTGATCCTGGCTTCTAATGCAGCATTCTGAGATTTCAAAGATTTATTATTATTATTATTATTATTATTATTATTATTATTATTATGCACTCTTGTTTTGACCAACCAAGCTAAGAAGACAGCCCGTACTCTAGACCTGTTTTATAAGGCATTTAGGAGTCTGAAACGTCTCAAGTGTGTCTGCCTTCACCTGGGATACAGTTGAGGCTTACCTGGGATGTCAAGAAATCAGTTCTCAGTTTCGTTTTCTTGAGCTCCTCCTGGGTAGTGTTGGCAAAATCACTGTTTTTTGCAGCAGAAAACTGGGCATTTTCTACCTGTAGGTAATATGCATTTGTTAGCAATGAAAGGTGGCATACATTTAAATGCAGAAGTGGTTGAGTTTTGCAGTGTGAAGTTACCCAGGGTTTCATTCTAGCTGAGTCAGAGTAGTTGCAATACTTAAACTAGTTCCAGATGGCAGTGAGCATACCCCTGTGTCAAAGACCCTTCCTATAAACCCCTCTACCAGAGTGTGAAGGGGGAGTTAACTTCAGAAAGCTGAGAGCAACTGGAAGGTAGCTTACTGACAGTGTCATCCTATGTGGAATTCCTCGAGTCTCAGTCCACTGATTTCAACTCCTTCCCCTGGAACAGTAGTAAGGAAAAGGCTTTCATAGAATTAAGGGTCACTTTGACATCAGCCATCAGTAGGGCCAGCCCTTTCTCTCTACTGCCTGACTCCATTTACATGCTTGAAAATTCTAAGCTCCAAACTGCAAGCACTGCTCTAATGCAGATTTCAGACATGCCCACACTTCGCTGACCTTTGGCCAAGTCAGTCTGAGCTGCTTCCAATGTAATTTGACTGAAGCTTTGACGAATGAGGGTTCCAGAGCCTGAGAGCAGATGTTGAAAATTTCTTCCTCCCCATCTAGTTTTTGTTTGAGCCACAAAAGGCCTCTTAAAAGGTAGTTATTGGGTGACATTAGAGATGGCACTGGGAAAGGAGAGGAAGTATTATTTAATGCTTCAGAGGTCAAAACCCGCACTGTATCCAGCAAGCTACAGCCACCAGAAAGATGGTGGTCACTCACTGGAAACAAGCAATACCAGATCCAAACTGGTGTTCTAAGGAATGGCAAGCAGACGAGATTGAACTTTTGTCTCTGAACACCTGGTGGTATTTCTGGAAAGGGGAGCTGACATCACGGGTCAGCATGGAATGGCATCTGCCAGGGGCCGGAGCCCAGCAGCAGGTCCATCACTGACACTTGGGCCTTCCGTACCCACCAGGAAGGGAACATCCCACCAGAGAGCCCTGCAGAGTTACAGGGGGCATCTTCCATTTTATACTGGAAGAGTCACGTGGAAGTTGCAGCAGTATGACTTTGTGGCATTCCTTCTTAGACTTGCTGGTGCAACCAGAGCTTGCGAATGCAAAAGAGTCACATTCAGCATTTGCTTCCTGCAGGAGCATGGCACGAGCACACGAGGGGGCACCGGCAACTAGGTCCCTAATGAAGGGGGGAGGGCACAGTGATATCTTGCCCAAGCCTGGGGCCAGCTCTGAGTCAGTGTCACGTTGTACAACAGCAGGAGGAATCAAAGAGCTGAGATCCAATTTCAACTCTCTCTACCACAAGGATGGCCAACGTGTGCGCCACCACAGCTCTGTGCAATTAACCTTCTGAACAGTAAAGGGCCAAAGGCGCAACTCCCACTGAACAAAGGCTGAATTTATCCAGCGTGCTCAGTTAACATGGGCAAGTGTGATCTTGTGCACCTCACACACCACCTGCCCCCAAGTCACTCACTTTGCACACAAATTTCCGCTCCACCTGCTCTTTGTAGGCCTCAATCTGATGTTCCTGCTCTTGCCGGAGTGCTTGGAGGGCATCCAGGAGTTTACTCTGGAACTCCTGCTGACGGCCAGACTCTATTTCTTTTATCTTACTCTCATAAAAGCTCTTCTTCCTTTTAAGTTCCTGGGGGGGTGGGGGAATCAATACAGGAGAACCGTTTAGCAAACTTGCCCCCCTCCTTTTAAAGTCCTATCTCATAAAAAGAAATTAGAGGCTTGTTATTGGCACAGAGACCTCTTTTGTTGTTGTTAATTTAACAGATTAGAAAAATATCAGAAATGGCTTTCGCATGGCTGCAAACATTCATATCAACATCAATTAATTTCTTTTAAAACAGCAGTTAGAATAGATCATATCACATACTCCCGGGGTGGCGGACATGTTAAAAAATAAATAAAAAGGGAGCCACAATGTCTTAGAGCTCATAAACGCTCCTGTGTCTCCACAATAAAGTCCCACAGAACAGGTCTCATGCTCAAGCCTCAAGAAACGAGAGGCCGTGGGCTGGAGGAGGGGCTCCCTCAGATGCCCCCAGGGCACCTGCTGGGGCAGAATATTCTGTCCACCAAATGAGCCATCATCCAAAAGGGCAACTGGGATTTGGGAAACTGAAGACAACGGACATACATCTCTGTGAAGGTTTCTCAGGAACATCATTTGTTCTTGCAATGTTTGCGTTTGGTTTTCCAGATCAATCCCCTTCAGCCTCTCATTCTGAAGCTGGTTTTTAGTATCTTTCACCGTCTTCTTGAGCTAGAGAAGGAGAAACATTTTTTTCACTGTACTTCAAGTTGTACACTTTCAGCCACATGTTTTAGATCTTACAGCTCAGCTTCTTACGGAGGTTATTTGGTCCTCTGACTCTTGAAGATCCTTTTCCAAGCTCTGCTGTCTGCTCAAAGCTGTGGCCAAGTCAGCCTCCCTGGACCGGAGCTGAGCATCTGAGTCCCGTATCTGAGCAACTGCCAGGCTCAAGTCGTTCTCTTTCTTACAATTCCTGCAAAGTGAATGGATGACAAGTATAGGAAAAGGGCTGTATGCTAGGTGGATGCAACTTTATTTAATAAGTGAATCTGGCCCCTTTAAATATATTTTTGGATTTTGAGAAAGAGGACCAATCTATTCTATAATTGGTAGGGTCTAATTAAAGTTTTAGGGCCATGGTGGCTCAGAGGTTAAGACACTGAGCTGCAGACTAGAAGGTCTGTAGTTCAGCAGTTTGAGACCCTAGTGCCACCTGATGCAGTCAGCACCAGTCTCTGGTCCCAGCTCCTGCCAACCTAGCAGTTTGAAAGCAAGAAATTGCAAGTAGATAAATAGGTACAGCTTCGGTGGGAAGGTAACAGCGTTCCGTGCACCTCAGCATTTAGTCATGCCAGCCACATGACCACAGAAACGTCTTTGGACAGAAACTTCTTTGGCTCTTCGGCTTGGAAACAGAGATGAGCACTGCCCCCTAGAGTCAGATTCGACTAGCTTTCGAGCAAGGGAAACCTTTACCTTTAATCAAAGTTTAATTTGGGTTCATCATGGTTAACATCAATCTTCTACAAATGAAAGGACTGAAAATCATAGTAAGTTTCGTAAAATTTGCCTTTGAGATGAATATAATGTTATAGAGTTTTGAGATTTTGTTAAGCCAGTGGTTCTCTGAGAAGGCACGGATTCTTCTCTTTCATTACTTTCAAGACAGGCAGCATTACACACATTAGTAAAAAAAAGTTGCCTGAAAAATGCCCTGCCCTGGATGACCCAGCCTACCCTGATCTTGTATGCTAGGTCAGATGCTTAGTCCTTGGATGGGAATCCTTTGCTGTGTAGCAGTGCTAGGCAGAGGCAGGCCATGGCAAACCACTCCTAAATGCCTCTTGCTTTGAAAACCCTCCGGGGTCATCATAACATAAGACAAGCTGTGACTTGATGGGAAAGAAAGAAATAAGTTGACCTATTAAGGGGGGGAAAAACTAGATTTGAAATTGTAATTGATAACAACTTGAAAGGGTACTGATAAGAGAGAGAAGAAGATGAGAGAAATTGGATTTCTACCCCACCCTTTACTTGAAACTGAGATAGTAGGAGAAAGCTCAGGAAAGAGAGACCGGACAAACATTTGCCAGCGTTTGGGAGAGAGACAGGATACATGAGGCTGCAAACACATCACAGGGCCCTAATAAGAGCGGAGGTTTGGGTTGGGAGCGACTCCAGACCAACGCTATGCGCCAGCCGAAGTAGAAGTGCCTACCAATAAGTTATATTTTGGTTTTTTTTGTAAAAGCCACTTTAAAACTTATTCCCACTGAAAGCCTAGCTTAAGAAAAATGCCTTTTTGGGAAAAAAGGCAACCGAATCCAAGAGTCATGCAAACTGTAAGTATTTGTGGCCAAGTTCAGGTGTTCAGTATCAAAACACATTTTGTATGAAAGGCATGCCCGAGCCATTCAGCCATTTATGGAGGCCCAGGTTGCCGCAGTTGCCAGATCTGCATTCTTCCATCTTAGGCAGATCAGGCTACTGAAGGCATATCTTTCCCCCCAAGACCTAGCTACAGTGATCCATGCAATGGTCACCTCCAGGCTTGATTACTGCAGTTCGCTCTATGCAGGCTTGCCCTTGAGACTGATCCGGAAATTACAGCTGGTACAAAATGCGGTGGCACGCCTGCTGATGTCAACTCCTGTGTGGGATCACGTTCGGCATGTGCTTTGCCAGCTGCACTGGTTACTAGTTGAGTACCAGATCTGCTTCAAGGTGTTGGTAATAATCTTCAAAGCCTTATACGGCCTGGGACCAACATACCTAAGGGACTGCCTCTTCTTTTATACGCCTCAAAGAGCCTTACGCTCTAGTAATCAACATCTCCTGGCCCAAAAGACATCCGTTTAGCCTCGACCAGGGCCAGGGCCTTTTCTGCCCTGGCCCCCACCTGGTGGAACATGCTCCCCATCGAGATCAGGGCCCTGCAGGATCTTACTCAGTTCTGCAGGACCTGCAAGATAGAGCTGTTCCGCCAGGCTTTTGGTCGAGGCAGCGGGTGTCTGCATATGGCCTCCCCGAGGTTGCTGTCTCCTACCTACTGGCCATCCATCTGCCAGCAACTGGCCATACCCATCAGTATTAATGGGCCAGAATTTGCACCAGCAGCTATAACTACTGATTTTAAATGTTTGTAATGTAATGTTTTATTGTGTTTTACACCTTATTGTATTATTTGAGATGATGTGACCCGCCCTGAGCCTGCTCATGGGATGGGCGGGATACAAATATGAAAAATAAATAAATGTCAAAGAAACCAAACCACTAGCTATTTCTAACAAAAAGAAAATGCCCACAAGATTCTCCTCTAAGCCAGAATGACCTTTATTCACAAAGTTATGACACCTGCCAAGTCAGAAACTTTCCAAACAAAGCTACAAGTTATCCAATTGAAGACACAAGATGAGCAGGAAAAGAATTCCAAGCTGCCATAAGCCTCCTCTCTGCATATTCTAATAGTATATTTGTGCTTTTTAGCCAAACTTTTGAAATTGATTTTTGAAACCAAAAACCAAGCAAGCAGCAGTGAAGCCCACAAGAATTTAAAGATGGAAAGTTGTTGATAGTAGAGTGGGAGTGTCTGCGGTCCTCGATTATATTGCAAGCAATTACTGTTCCTTGAACGTTTTTATGAGAATTGCATTCTCAAGTGCATTGTGAAGTACAGGAAGGCCAAGAACTGCAGTCTGAAGATCAACTTTACTGCCAGGTTAATAGATATAGGACAAGCCCATTTTCAGACTCTTTTTCACAATTAGAAACCTGATAGCACATTTTTTGTCTTGGGTTTCCCCCCCACACATCCACACCAATGGCAGTAGAACAGCTGGGGGGGGGGGAGAGAAGCACTTTAAGGAGCTCTTATGAACTCAGTCAACTGTACAGACAAATGGGATTAAAACTACTGCAAAGAGCCTTGGAAATTGTAGTTCTGTGTGAGGGGCCCAGAGATCTTTCTCAGAGATTCTCAGCACCCTTATCAAACTACAATTCCCAGGAGTCTCTAGGGGAATCCCTGACAGTTTAACCCAGGGGTCCCCCAATGCAGTGTGGGTGACCACCATGACATCTGCTGGCACCCACCATGACATTCCAGGCACCCACCAACGGCTTTGAGAAAGTGGGTGGGGCCAAGTGGGCTCCTGCCCAGCAGGGTTTCTGACTGGTCACTGGAGATCTGATGGACTGTGCAGATTAAAATAACATTATTTCAGTGGCAGCTGCCATCACAGTGCTGGTTTTATTCTCCATCACTCTTCTTTCCCAGCATATGTCTTAAACACCCCTCTTCCCCCCTGCTCCTGGGCTTCCTCCAGGTGCACCGCTCTGCCTCTTGGAGAAGCCATTTTGGAGTTATGCCCCCTGCCACCGGGGGTTGTGCCCCTGCCCTGTGTGAAAATCCCAAGAGTGCCCACTGGCTCAAAAAGGCTGGGAACAACCCCTGGTTCAACCAATATTAAGAGCAGTATTTTTCTTCCTAAACGTCAAAAAGGCCAAGTTCATGATCATCGAGAAGAGGAGAAATGTCAAATAACAGTTGACAACGAAGAGATCGAATGTGTGGCAGAATCCACTTTCTTAGGATCACAGGTCAACCAAAATGGCAAATGCAGTCCAGACATAAAATGTTGAATCATGCTAGGTAGCACAGCAAGGATGAGCATGAATCGAATATGGAAGAGCAAGGACATCAGCCTAGCAACCAAGTGCAGGTTAGTCTGTGCTGTTGTGTTTTACATGGCTGCGAAAGCTGGACCATGAAGAAGCAAGACAGGAGGAAAATCAACTCATCTGAGCTGTGGTGCTGGAGAAGACTCCTGCACATTCCTTGGACAGCAAAGGTAACAAACAAGCAAGTATTGGAGCAGAAGAACTCCCCAGAAAAAGCAATTATGCTTAATTAGTTAGCAGCAAAAGGAAACTGGGCTGCCAAAGAACACGGTGGCTAGACACTATAAAAATCGACACCAGCCTGAGCATGGAACGACTCTTTGAGTACAAGATCGGAAAACATGGAGAGAGCTGGCCCATAGAATCACCAAGAGCAGTACACGACTGAATGGCTAACACCAGCAAGACCAACATAAGGGCATACTTTAGATTCACCTTTAGTGGCAATGCCCACAACCATTATTCCAAGAGATATTAAGGGCCAATACATTGAACTTGCTATCAGAATGTGCTGCTAACCTGTTGTGACTTTCTGTCCTAGTTATACCGTTCCTTTTATTGCAAATTTATTACAAAATTTCCAACTTTCTACCTCTCAGATGGCAAAAACTAGGCACCGCTCTGAAGCTCTCTCGCTCTAGTATTGGGTGAATCTGCAATTTTGCCACCACAAGCAGAGTTATACTCAGGGCTATTTTTGGGCAGGAACGCACAGGAACGGAGTTCCGGCTGGCTCCCAAGTTGGCCACGCCCAGCAGGAACGCGTTAGCATAATAGGCCACACCCAACAGCATAAACTCATTAGGATTGGCTACATTAGGGGTGTGTGGCCTAACATGCAAAGGAGTTCCTGTTACAAAAAAAGGCCCTGGGTTTTGACCACAAACAAGGTAAACAGAATAAGAAGCAAAAGGTGGGTGTGGCTGGATAACCACACTTCTGGTAACATGGGGGTGTGGCCTAATGCGCTAATGAGCTGTGCTGTCAGGGGTGTGGCCTATTATGCTAATAAGTTCCTGCTGGGCTTTTTCTACAAAAAGAGCCCTGGTTGAAGCCAATTCATTTCAGGGGACTTAGAAGGATGTAACTCTGGTTACGCATTGCATTTAAGTTCCATAAGTGTACCAAACAGTGCAGCTTTACCTGCTGTTAAAGTGCTGATAAAGTTGATGTCTGATAAGAAAGGAAATATGTCAATTTCCCCACCAGAAAAAAAATATTCCCAGGAGTTTCTATGCAGAGCAAAAGTAAAGTCGAAAAGAAAGTGGGGTCCCTTTTAGTTACAATACATGCACTTAATTTATATTCCATATTTCTCTCAACTTGGACCCAAAATCAGGGGGCTCCCCCCCCAGCCTTGGGCCTGCCATTTGTTTTTCAAAAGTGGGAGGGACAAGGTGGGGCTTTTCCCCAGCAGAACTTCTGACTGGCCACAGACGATCTGATTGGCTGAGCATATTCAAAGAAGGATTGCTTTTGGCAGCAGCTGCTACTACAGAACAAAGACCCTCACCCTGAGAGTCAATGTGAGTTGTGAGTATATGTTTTGTGGCTGCCCCTGCCCTCCTGCGTCAGAATTCCAAAGGTGCCTGCAGGCTCCAAGAGAGTTGGGCTGCATCCTGGCTTACACTGTTCTCCTCTCAACATCCTTGTGAGGTGGATTAAGCTGACAGAGAGTGACTAGCCCAAGGTCACCCAGCCGGCTTCCGTGGCAAGAGTGGCGGTTTGAACCTGGCCCCCCCATGATGTCCTAGTCTGACCCTAACCCCCCCCCCCAAGCTGTGCTGATTCCCCCTCCCCGCCTGACCCTCACCGACACAGTGTGGCCTTTTCTGATGTTGTGTTGTTTTCACTCCCCGAGATACTCGAGAACACAAACCCCTTATGTTAGAATGAACTCTCGCTAATTTTAAAAGTGCTACTAGACTCCTATTTATCTTTTAAAACCAGGTTATTTCCCTCCCTGTCTTGTCTTCCTTTAAACACCGGTAACTCCAAAGAATGCAATGAAGTGACTTCACGCTTTGGAGTTCCCAGAGTCTCCAGTAACCAACTTCCTTCCCTCCCTCCCTCCCCCGCATCGTCTGCGGTGCGCCCCTCCCCGGGGGGGGGCTTTCAAGGCAGAGGCGGCCTGCCACTGCTCTCCCGGGGGAGGGGGGGGGCTCCCTTCCGAGGCCTGACCCGGCTTCGCTTCCGCGACCGGGTGAGCTGGGGCCGCAGCGTGCCGCCTTTCCGACCAGCAGATCTGTGGCCCGCTGACGCCGTCCGAGCGGCCAGGGGGAGGGAGCCACCGCCGGGGAGTCCCTGCTCCGAGAGTCGAGGCCGGGCCCGGACTGACCTGTCGCGCAGCTGGCGGTGCTGGTCGCGGAGGGCGCTCAGCTCCAGCTGGAGGGCGGCGCGCTTGGCGGCTTGGTCGTCGAGCAGGCGGCGCAGCTCGGCCAGCTCGCCCTCGTAGCGCCGCTGCAGGAGGCCCCCCT